ATTCACGAACTGCGAGATCACGACCTGAGCCAAAGTTGGATGCTGAACTCACTGAGCCACCCAGGTGCCCCGTGAAACAGACTTTTATAAAAATGTTTAAAACCTCTTCTTTGGAAAACGCAGAGCACGAGGACAAAAGAACCTACGTAATTGGAGAGATATGGCATGTTCATCAATTGTAGGAGCCTCGACACCGTTAAGATGCCAGTTCTCCCCAGATTGATCTACGGATGCCGTATAATGCCAACCTAAGTCCCAGCAGCCATTTTTTTTTTTTTTTTTTTTGGTAGAAAATAACAAGCTCATTTTAAAAACAGTTTTAAAAAGTGACCTCGAATAAATCGATTTTATAAAAGGAAAGCATCTTTTCGATGCCTGATTTCCAGACTTTCTATGAAAGAGGGGGTTGGTGCGAGAAAAGGCAGACAACTGAGCAGAAAGCAGAGTCTGGGCGCAGGACTCACAGAGACGGCCAAGTGCATTTTGACAGTTGTCAAGGCAAATCAAGATGGGGAAACGGGCATTGTTTCAAAAAATGGTGCCGGAGACACTGGTGATCTGTACGGGGGAAAAAGGGACATAGACCCTTACCCATATTATACACGAAAATTAAAGTGTGTCCACAGACCTAACTGTGAAAGCTAAAACTAAAACCACAGACTTGAAAAAAACACAGGTGAAAATCTTTGTAATCCTGGGTTAGGAAAAGAGGTCTGTGCTGGCAGGATTTGAAGATGGGCCTCAGCGACTTGTGTCTGTGTACAATCTCCTTCTCTGGAGCATGGGAGGGGCCCGTGGAGAGCAAGAGACAGCACACCTTGACTGGGCTACTCTGAGCCTATCAAGAGAGATGATCCGGGGTGGGCCTGACCTAATCTGGTGAGCCTTTTCAAAGAAGCGTCATGTTGTAAGAGGAGGGGCCCCATGGCAGGGAACCTAGGGCAGCCCCTGGAAGCTGGCTAGAAACCCACAAAACAACAGAGATCTCCGTCACACAACTGCAAGGAAATGAACTCTGCCAATGACAGGCAGCTGGCAAGGGACATTAGGTGAGACCACAGGCCCACTGACACCTTGATCTCAGCCTGATGAGACCTTGAGAGCAGATGACCCAGTGAGGTCCAGACACCAGGACTCCTGACCTGCCCCTGCTGTGAGACAGCGCATTTGTGTGGTTGTTTTAACTTCCTCCATTATACCAGGTACCTGCAACACAACCGTTAACCGCGGAAGAAAAGGCCACCTTCACTGTGTGTCCTCAGCTCCAATAGCGTCTTGACCCTTAGGTACCAAATGCTTGTTGGTGAGTGAAGATATGGATTTTTTTCTTTTTTTTTTTTTTTAATGTCTATTTTTGAGAGAGGGAGAGAGCAGGGGAGGGGCAGAAGATCTGAAGCGGGCTCTGCACTGACAGTGGAGAGCCGGATGTGGGGCTCGAACTCACTAACTGTGAGATCGTGACCTGAGCTGAAGTTGGATGCTTAACCGACTGAACCTCCCAGGTGCCCCAGATACGGATTTTTTCAAAGCAGACCCTTCTAGTGCTAGCCTAGACATTATTTCCTCTGATAACTCAGCGGATTGCTGGCTTGAGTTTGCTGTCGAGGACCTGTCTAGAAAAACGCCCCTGCATCAGAATGGCAGATAATAAGGAATTCTTCCTCTTCCTTATAATGGAGCTGCTCGAGTCACATAATACAGGACTAAAAGCCCAGTGAGTGTCTGAAAAATCTCCTGCTATGGCATTAGTCATTAGCTAACTCACAACAAAGGGGATGAGTCAGAGTCCGTTTCTTCAGGTTCGTTACGGAAAGCCCCTGTGCTTTCACGGCCTTACTCAAATAAAACCAAGGAAGCCTCTCCCCTGGACACAACACCTCCCAAACTATCGATATTTACCGTATTAGAGAACTGAAGTAACTTAGAAATACAGTTATAACAGGCATGTATCTAGGCAGCCACCAGAACGATGATATCGTCACACACCATGTGGCCTGTGGAAAACTCCAGTGTCTGCTCTCGCGTAAATAACAAAAGGCAAATGGCGTCTCAGTCTTACTCTGAAAACAGTGTCGGTCCTGAGGAGCCCTCGCCGGGACCTCAGGGATCCCCAGACCACACTTGGGGAAGCACTGCCCGAGAGGACACTGAACGTGAGCCAGAACAGAACGCTCCCAGCGGCAGGATCATCAAAGCCGAGGCTGGAAAAACCCAGTCAACCCTGACTTCACCGGATAAATAGATGGCAGCAGATTCTAGAACCGCACAGGAGAATGAACAAGAGGGAACCATTACCATGTGCATCAATACGATGAATCACAAAATAAATCGGTGAATGAAAAAAACAAGCGGCAGTACAATATTTACACTATTCTTGACTTACGTGATGTTTAAAAACCGGCAAAATTAAACACAACAACAGTTACAGTAGCTAACACACATACAAAGTTTACCAGGTGCCCTGTGTGGACCTAAGTGCTTTACACATATTAACTCAGTTAATCCTCAAAATGATGCTTGAGGCCGGTATGACGGTCATCCCCATTTTATGGATAAAACTGAGGCAGAGAACGGCTCGGGGATACATGGGTGGTAAAACTACAAATAAAAAGAACGTTAGCCGAAATCAGAAGGGCGGCTACGGCTGGGCGGGGGATGTATCCAGGAGCAGGAGAGCCGACAGTGGGTGACACATTACCACTGATGCCCCCCGCTTTTTTAAAATTCTTTTTCAACATTTATTCATTTTTGAGGGACTGAGAAAGACAGAGTGTGAGCACAGGAGGAGCAGAGAGAGAGGGAGACACAGAATCCGAAGCAGCTCCAGGCCCTGAGCTGCCAGCACAGAGCCCGACGCGGGGCTCGAACCCAGGAACTGTGAGATCATGACCCGAGCCGAAGTCGGACGCACCCCGCCGCTGAGGCTCTTGATCTGCACGGTGGGGGTGTGTGCAGATGTGTCCCCTACTACTGTTGGCCGTGTGTCCTTGTTTCCTGCGCAGGTACGGGACTGGGACAGAGACACAGCGAAGGCGGTATGGACCACGCTCACGGCCAGCGGCCTCTAGTTCGGGAAGTGCACACCCCGCCCGCGGCACCGGCCCTGCCGGCCTGGCTTTCAGAGCCCGGGATCGAGGCTGCTCCCTGCCGCTGGCAGCCTGGTCCCAGGGCTACGAACACAAAAAAACGACACAAACACTCAACAAAGCAGAGGAACACCTAGCACCTGAAGGCTGGGGAACTGGAGTCGAACAGAGAGGCGGCTGTGAGTGCTGGACGACCGTGCACCCTGTCCTTCCCTTCCACCCCTGTGCGGGGAACAGGTGGGAAACGTTGAGAGAGGACTAGATAGGTAGAAAATGGTGAATCATCGAGGACTTCCAAGTGGGAGAGAGATCGCTTTTGCCAAACCAGTTACGCAGGCTCACTTCCACGTAGGGATGCAGCTGTGGGCCCATGTCACATGTTCCTTCTGTCCCCGCATCAGCCCTGGAACACCCAGGTGGCGCTCAGCCCCCTTCCCCTCTGGGCCGTCAATGCTGCCGCTCTCTGGACCCAGGGCGTGAGCATGCCAGAGCCCACGGTGCCCTTCCAACCGCCCAGACCACGTTCTCCTCACTGCTGGGCACAGCCCCCCACCCAACCCGGCACGCAGGACCCCTGGGGCCCCGCCCCCCGGCAACGCACCCACAGCCCCCCCTCTGCACACAGGATCCCTGGGGCCCTGCCCCCCCCAATGCACCACAGCCCCCAAGGCGCTCAGTACCTTTGGGCACGCCCCCCCCCTCAATGCACCCATG